ATGATGACAATAGAAGTATTAATAATGAAAATTTCTTAAATAGAATTCCGAATAAACTCAATCATTCAAGTAATGACATTAAGATTCTCGATCCTATAATATCGAGTGGAAATAATAATCACAGTAACAATGAACAAATTGATTTTGATGAATATCGATTGAAAAAATGGCCAATTTTTATGGTTGAAAAACCACGGAAAAAATTTCCAATTAAAACTGATTCGATGATTAATCGTTTCGATATAGATCAAATGTCAAATACCGATTATTTTAATAGCAATGAAAACAACAAAGATCAAATAATAATTCCATTTGGAACATCATATCATCACGGAAATGATGATAATGATAAAGTTGAACAAAAACAATCTAAAGATTGTCTTGTGAATCAAACATTATCAAATCAAATACTACAAAAATCAGAAAATTCAAATCATGATGATGAATATGGTTCAGATTCTATGCATCAACATCATCATCATAATGGTGGCAATGATAATAATGATGGAAATGGTAATAAAATTGAAACTTTTTTAAATTTAAAAAACATTTCTACAAATCATTGGAGACCAATAGTTCAAATATCACGGCCATATTCATTGTATGAACATAATCAAAATGAAAGTCGTCAACATTCGCATCAACAACATCATGATAATCATTATATAAATGATAACGATCAAATGGATGAAAATTACAACCAGTTTGTTCATAACAATAGTAATGATGATGATGATGTTGACAATAATAATAACAATAACAATATCGTTTATGATGGAAACAATCTATCACTATCGAATTTCAATAACAATAATGACAATTTTGATGACAATGTTGATCATTTCAATAATATTGGAAATAAAAAGCCGACCAAAGAAATAATGGAAGAACAATATGGCCATCATCATCATCATCATCAAATGAACAAGAACAATAATGATGATGATGATGATGATGAAAAAAATGATAGCCAACAACAAGAACAAAAAAAAGGACAAGCTATTGATGGAAGTGGTGGAAATATTGATGATTATGATGATGGTGGTGATGATGATGATGATGATGATAAAATTTCATCAACTAGATCAAAACAACGACAAAAAAATGACATGAATTCAATCGAACAACAACAACAACAACAACAAGAACATGGAATAAAAAATGAAACTTTGTCGATCAAAGTAAGTAAATGCATGGTATATACTATATGAACCAATTTCAATCTTAGTTGACATTACAAATATGAACTTCAATCTAATTCTGTTGTTGTTATTCCGTTTTTTTGCTATTATGCTTAGAATTTATGCCATTTTTTATGTGAAAGCAAATGATGAGAGAAAAAAATCGAAATTGAAATGATCGATGACTTTTTTTTATATAATTCAAAATTATGAAATGAATCAATAGATAGAGAGAAAAAACGTCATGCTCGAATAAATTGCATAATCCATATTCACATCGATGATGATGATGATGATCGATTTATACATACAGACAGATACAAATTACAAACCAACAGAAACATAACAAAACAGTAAGAGGTTTATAGTTAAAAGAATTGAAATTGAGATTTTTAAAAGATAACAAAATGAAGTTTAGCAGCAGCAGAATAATCAACAATGATGAACACTAGGTAAAGAATTTTTTTTGTTCAATATACAAATCTTGTTCTGTACTCAGGAATCGGTGAGAAATTGGCCGAATTAATTATGCAGAGAGGCACAAACAACCAATTAGCAGACTTAAGAAACCGTTGAGTGAAAAAAATATTTTCAAAATTGTTTTGTTGATACCATCTACCAATTAAAGCGTAAGAATGTTATTACAACAATAATCAACAGCTAATCATTAAATGAAAATCTTCTTGTAAAACTACTTATAGGATTAATTTTTTTTCACACAAAAATTTTTCATTTTTCTTATATATATTTTCTATTATGGAAAGTTGTTTGTTACTACTGCTTCTGGTGTTTTTTTTTTCCTAACATCTTTTTTTTCAGTTCATATACTCATTATTTCTTTTCTGTGATTTCATGGCAATTGTTTCCACATTACGACGAATTTCTAAATCTAAATTGTTAGTATATCATTGCCTAGGACATAATACAATTAATTTATTTACTCATTTTTAATTCTAATACTAATTATTTTTGCTTGTTGTTTTTCTTTTAGAACAATAGGCTCATTTCATATATTGTCAATTATTTATAAGAATCTCATTTACGGTCTATATGGGATTTTTTTTTTTTCCAACCTTTCAGAATCGAGAAAACACCAAATCCAACCTAACACGACCAGTTCACTGTTTTCCAGTTTCCAGTTTAAACTGTATATATATGACAATGAATGATTCTTGATTTTTTTTTGTATGAGTTTTTCTTTTGGGAATCTTGTTTTTCTTGGTTTTTGATTGCTTTCTTTGTTTCAAAAGCAATCACAATTCTACAATTCTAGAATTCAGTCCATTTTGTAGACTAGACAGTTGGGAATTTTTTTTTCAATATAATAATGAAGATTTTTTCAAAATGAAACATACTTTAATTTCAAGTCTAATTTCATATCTTGTTTTTTTTTTTATTTTGTTAACTACAAAGATTTTCATATTAGAAAAAAAACTCTAAGACTTGCACTTAGATTTTCAAATTTTAAGACGAATCCCATCTGAAATGTTTTCATTCTGGAAATAAAATCAAAGAATTGGCTAAAAAAAATAAATTCATCAAAATTATTGCCATTATGTGGATGAATTGAAAGATTTTTTTTTTTTTTTTTTCTATTGCCTGGTTGACGATGATTTTTATTCATTTCGTTTCACTTTTTGTTTTATATTTTCAACTAACTGCAGTAAAGAATTCCCCATTTCATCATTCATTAAAATTGTTTGTTCACTACATTTCATTCGGAAAAAAAACGTCAAAGATAATGACGAAAACAAGAAAAAAAAATTGACTACATCATCAGAATCTGAGTACGAATATTAGGGCTTGTTCTTCTCTCACTCTACCATAATAATCTTCTGTTAGCAGGTGAAAATTAATTTGGCAATGTTTGTCATGTTTGAACTTTTTTTTCAGTCTATCTATTTTCATGTATACGTCTTTTTCATTTGATATTTTTTATATTGTGAAAGTTTGACTATTCAATAATTCGGTTCGTTTGTACAAAGTGTTTTATTCATGAAAATGGTGTGAAAAAATTGAAAGAAAAAAAATAACGATTGAAATTGAATTGAATGGAACAAATAACAACAACAAACAGAATCGTGTTCAGATCAATAATTATTACAATTAGTGCATTCGTTCAGAATTTTTTTTTCTTAGTTTTTTTTCATTTAAAATTTTTTTTATCTTTTTTTTGTTCGTTATTTCCGGTATTATTTGATAAAAATTCAGAAAAAAAATATTAAAAATAAATAGAAAATTGTGAATATTCTCATATTCACGATAATAATAAAAAAAAGTAAATTCTATTAATCTAATTTTTTTTCATTTTCATTTCTTATTTTTTCATTTGTTTTATCTATTCAATTTTCCATTTTGATTATAACAATATTTGCACATATTGTTCTGAAAAAAAATTAATATTTGCTCTGATCATTATCAACAAATGAAATAATAATAATAATAATAAAATTACACACTAGGGTTATTCAACCAGAGATCGTGGATTCGGATTCATCAAAGCATGGGCATGGGATCGTGGAACAAACATCATTTCCGAAGAACGACGTTTAAATGAAAATGTTCATCGAAAAAAATATGATGAAAAAAAATTCAATAAAAACAACAACAACAGCAGCAGCAACACTGACAATAACTATCAAGCATAGAATATGATCCTAGACCACAGAATGAATCGACCTTGTAGTCATTTTTTTCAACTTGAAATTGTTGTTCAAAAAAAAATGATAAAAATAAAAATTGCCAGCATTCAAAATGTCAAAGTGCCCAAAACCAAAAAAAAAATTGATTGACATTAAATATCATGATGATTGAAATGTTATTATTATTGACTCGATTTTTTTTTTTTATCATCATATGGGAGAAAAAAAAATAATTTACTTTTATTGATTTTGGAAATAAAAATGTCAAAGAAAAAAAATTCCATTTAACATTATGATGTAAATAGGAGAAAAAAAAGAGGTAATAAATTTGAATGCAAAAATTCCAATTCACCTCAAACACACACATATATACATGCATGCATAAAAATTGTAATAAAAAATAAACAGAAAAGGAAATGAAAAAAAATAACGGTACTTTTTTTCATCATCATTACAATACACGTAATAAAAGTAATATCATATTTGCTATTCTAGCGATCGATTGTAATATTTTTTTTTATTCTCCACAAAATATTCCATATTTGATATTGAATAACTTCACCGAATTCCATTTGAATATAGGAAAAATTATCATCTATAGTAAGCGGTGATTATAATATCGCCTGTTGCTAACATCATAATTTAGTAGTGATTCATTCATTCATTCAATCATCACCACATTATGATGCAATGGATAATTGTTTCATCGACAATCGACAATTATTTATTCATCACTTTTATTTCAATCATAATCATTTTATTCATTCAAATTTTACGTTGCAATCAAATTTTTCTTCTTCCCTTCTCATCTGAAATGGAATGTGTGTGTGTGTGTGTGTGTGTGTGTGTGCCTGTCTGTTTGTGATAGCCATTGCAATCGTAAATGAAAATCTATTTTCAGATATTTCAATAAGCAAAAAAAAATAATAATATTATCATATATTGAAGACAAAGAATGACGCGTCTTTTTTTTTGATCATCGTTATCATGGTTGGTTTGTGCATCAATAAGGGAAGTTGTAGATATCATATACATGCACATTTGATTTCTTGTTTCGATAAATAAATAAATAAATAAATTAATCAATCATTCAATCAATAAAAAAAAAAAAGAAGAAAAGAAGAAATGATGATGTGATTTTTTTCTTCATTCAATAACAAAAATTTTACATTTGTTGTCGTGTTTAAAAATTTTTTTTTTTTGGGAAAAACAGGAAATTTTCATTAAATATACACACGCAGATCATCCAATCACCACATTGAAACATTGGCTACGTTGGCACCAATCACAGTGACATTTTGTGATTTTGTGTGTGTGTGTGTATGCGTATGTTTAGCAATCAAAATTAGTCAATCAAAATATCCAAAGAACAAAAAAAATCTCACACTATTTCGAGATTATGTTATTGTCGACCATATGGACAATGTTTACATTAAATAAAAATAATGGTGTTATTAGTATACGTTCAAACACGTGGCATTCATGCGGCGTATACTTGACAATATATTTGATCATATTTGTTTGTTTCATCACAACTGGAACAATCAATGCAAATCCATCACCGATAAATATAACAACCGTTCCAGAAACAATAGTGGAAGTGGATATTGATTTAAACAATGGTGTTGATGATAATGAACAGCTAACAACAACATCTATACCGATTTTCGAAACAACAACAAGTAATAATGAATTTATTTCTTCAGTTATTGATCAATTAAATGAAACGATTAATGGAACAAATTCATCGACTTTGGTAGATGATGTTGTAGTAGGTAACCAGAATGAACAAAAAAAAATCATGTCCCTTTCCTTTTAAGATTCACTTAATTGAACAAATAAATTTATTCCATTTCTTTCACACACACACACACACACACAGTAGAACCTTATACACCGAAATGTGATCCAATAACTGAAGTATTAAGTAATTGTTCGAATAGTTGCCCAGCAACATGTGAAGATTTGGATCGAAAACCATGTAAAAATTTTTGCTGGAAAAGTTGTGAATGTGCACCGGGTTATGTAAGAAATTATCAATGGAAATGTATTGCCCGTGAAAAATGTCCAAGTAAGTTTGAATTCATTTCATTCAGTTAATTATTTTTGAAATTTCAATAACAACAAACATTCAGATTGAAAAATATGACTTGTTTATTATTATTTCGAATTTTTTCTCGCCATCCGAATATATTAGCTGTCATATATTATCATTTAGAATGTTCTACAAATTATTTTTAACATTAACAATGATGATGATGATGATGATGGTAATTTTGTTTTTTTAATGAAAATTTTTTTATTTTTTTTACATTTATTTTGTTTACAATGAATAAGAATGTGAAAATAATGAACATTATAGAAATTGTGGACCAGAATGTGAACAAACATGTGAAACATATCAGAATCCACCTGCATACTGTAATCGACATTATTGTAAACGTGGCTGTTTCTGTAATTATGGTTTTGTTCGTGATATGTCCCAAAATGGAACCTGTACACCAATCAACGAATGTCGTATGTATGATTCTATTTTGAAGATAAAAGAAACATTTTTTTTTTTGTTCATTCATTGTCTGTTGTGTTGTTTCTTATTTTTCTTTTTCTTTGTTATTAATTTTTAATATTGAGAAATTTATTCTTCCATAAAATGTTGATAGTGATAATAATAATAATAATATATGATTTTTATGTCTCTATTTATCTTGTTTTTTTTTTGTATATAATATATTGATCCAATTTTATATATATTTTTTTTATAGCCAATAAATGTGGCCCAAATGAATATTGGGACGTGAATGGTGAACCATGTATCCGGACAACGGAAGATCCAAGGCCAAAATGTTTATTTGAAAAGCCGGTATCAGGTTGTATATGTAATACCGGATTTGTACGTGATCCAAATACTAAACAATGTCAGCCAATAACAACAGGTTTGTCATATATATCATTGTTATGTAATGAATTTGATTTTAAAATATTGGATTTTATTTTTAAAACAAAAGAACCAATCAAATGTGAACATAATGAAACCTATTCACAATGTGGTTCGGATTGTGCCATGAATTGTTTTGATCATAATAAACGCGAAAGATGTCCCACTGTTTGTAATCGTGGATGTTTCTGTAAAGATGGTTATCGCCGTCAATATTCTACTCAACGATGTGTATTACCTGAAGATTGTAATAATAATTCGAACGGTATCGTACGTGATCAAACACTAATCGAATTTGCCTAAAAAAAATATAATTGAACAAAAAAAAAATTTTAATTCGAAAATTTCAAAACAAAACATGAAACTCACCGTCACCTATCGCCATCTATCGTTTCGGTAGAGAATTTTCTGACATTCTAAATGTCAATATTTCGTTCATAGATGGTACTGTAAAGAGAATTAAGAAAAAAAAACGAATTCCAGGACAATTTTTTTGTTTTGTTTCTATAATTAATTGAAATAAATATTCACAAAATTACTCATTCAAATTGAATTTATCCCCACAATCATTATATCGAATTGATCAATCATAGATTAAATGATATGATATGATGCGAAAAAAAAAATTCATTCAGACAACTGCTAGCTATAGGTCAATTATAAACTACAATTTAAAATTGAATTTTTTTTCTTTTGTTACGAAATATATTTGATTAAAATTCAATTCAACAAACAAACAATCGAATAGTTGTGGTGGTCAAGCGAATAAACATCATCATCATTATTATTATTACTCTATATATTCATCAATCGAATTTGGTGACAATGGAAATTGACCATCATCATCATAGACAGCCAATCCATAATAGAACATTTCATCGTTGTTATTCATAATATTTGACCAATTTGTCGGTGAAAAAAATTTTTTTTTGTTTGATTAAATGATGATAATTTGAATATCATTACCATAATAATCATCATTTTTATCATCATTATTATTATTGCCCAAATGTAGTTCGTTTTCTCTCTCTCTCTCTTTCTATATCATCACATACCAATTTTGAGTCTAATGATAATAATAACAATCATTCATTTTTATTGACCATACGGCTCTTTTGTTGTTTGGTCGGAATAGGTCATTTTATCATCAAGAATTTTTTTTCCTTACTCGTTCTATTTCATTTTTTTCCACTTTTCACCACCACCATCATCATCATATATCTAAATTATTTAGAAATTAAAATAAACAAGATAATATGTTTCTCTCAGACAATTTGATGATGATGATGATGATGATGGTGACATTGCTCGACAATTATCAACTTGGTTGACCATTTTTATTTAAATTTTATTTCCATCATCATCATCATCATTGTTGTTGTTGTTTTGGCTGCCATATGAGGCCATTCATGTTTTTCATCATGATAATTTGAATATTCTTTTCTTCTGATTGTACAAAGTACATGAAATGTTGTTGTTGTTGTTTGTTTTATTCAAATTAATGATAATAATAATTATTGTCATTATTGTCAGCTAAATTGTTTTTTTTTTTTGTTATCAATCAATCATAATAATAAATATTTATCTGATCAGCAATCTGATTGCTCAAAAATGAATATTTCTCTCTCTCTATCGATTTGACAATGTCAATCAATCAATCAATGATGATGATTTGAATTGCATTTCTCTCTCTCTCTCTCTCTCTCTTTTTTTTTTTTTTACATTTCATTCGATTATCATTATTATGTTGATCAGATTGTTGATAAAAATTCGGTGAATAATTGAGAGAATAATAAATAAATTTTATATATGTCTTTATCATCATTATCATTATTTCTTTTCGTTTATGTAAATGTGTGGTGCGTGTGTGTGTGTGTGTGTGTGTGTGTGTGTGTGAAAAAAAATTTGCATTTAGTTAAATTTGAATATTGTGAATGGGAAATACGGAAATTTTTTTTTTATCGTGTAAATTTTTTTTTTATGACACACACACACACAAACATAAATAAATAAAATGACTATGATGAGTATGAAGATTTTTTCTCCTTTTTTCCCCATTATTCATCGATTAGATAAAATTGTCCTGCACATGATGGCCACTAATAAATGGATCAATTAGTTAGATATTGTTAAAAGTAGGGCCGGATGTTGCTTGTTTTATTTTTATTTCGTTGTTGGTTTATTAGTGTGTGTTTGTAGGCATACGTATGTTGAATATTTTCGATCCAGGACACTAATGTTTAATTATCTTCAGTTTCTCTAATTGATTCATCATCATCATCATCATCATGATCTTATGACAAATAAAAATGCAAATTTGCAAATGAAAATTCAACGTGAAATCAATATATATTTTTTCTATTCACACTATATTGTTATCTCAATTTTATTGGAATTGGAGAAAAAAAAATTCAATTTCATTCATATCTTGTTGAATGGACAACAATCATCATCATCATCATTATCATCGTTTATTTGAATTTCAATAATAAAAAAACAAACAATTGATTGGTTCAATAATAAAATAGAAATAAATAAAATGATGATTACAGTCTTTTTGATCGTAAAAATCATCGACATGATAACAAAAAAAAAAATAAAAATATTGAGTAAATTAAACCAATTGTTTCGTCAACAATCTGTTATATTGGCCTGAAGGCTTAATATGACCATTTTTCCAATGGCCCCAACAACAACAACAACAACAGCAATATCAAAACGATTATTCAATTGTAATAATAATGCCAAACATTTTTTTTTATTGGTTGTATACAAATTAAATTATGATGATTGAATAAATCAATTTTCTTCTCCCCTAATAACCATGATTATCATTGTATACATGAATTTTTTTTTTTTTTTGCTCATTGATAAAAGAGAAGAAAAAAATTTAATTTTTCAATTCGACAAAAAAATACCGATTTTTTTTCAATGTAAGCGTGATCATGATCACTATTTTGGTGATGATGATGATGATGATCATGATGATGATGATCACCAATCATTTTAATGTGTGGATATTTAGCTATCTATGGTATGGATGGCCATATTATATTTGAATTTCATCAATAGTCAATCAATTGTGAATATCATCAGTTAAATTGAAATCGGATAAACTTTTTATTTTTATTTTTTTACATTGCCATAATTTTCGTTTTCATATATATATACACGATTCACACATTTGAGATGAAATGAAAAATTAATTGAGATTTCCTTTTTTTTCATCATTTTCGATAGTGGCTCATAATCATCATCATCGTGATCGTCAATGATTGTGATTTGATTGTGTATTGTTTGATATGATGATTACCTGTTGTTGAAAATCTTTTTTGTCAGAAAAAGCTATTTTATGGGAGATAATTTTTATTTTATTTTTTTCATCCGTCTTCGTGCAGAAAGATATTTTTTTTTTGGAGAAAGTATTCATTTTTTCCCTTTTTCTTAAATCCATTCCATTAGTTTTACATGTGACAGACTCAGGTGATGATGATCATTAGATCAATAAATCGAATTTTGAGGACAATTTCATCAGAAAAAAAAATCTGTATAAATTCTATTCGGAACTCTATATACATTTATTTGAATCAACCATGACCTTTGCTGCTGTCATTATCAGATTGCGGCAATTTTGTTTTTGAAATTTTTTTTTAATTTCAATTTATTCATCATTATGGTAATGATGATTTTTTTTTTTTTAAAAATTCACATCTATCCAGTTTTTATTTTCATAAACATCTGATTGATAACGATTTAATTGAAATAAAATGGATACATTTTGAGTTTTTTTTTTTGATGATGATAATGATGAAAATTATCAATTACCACAGCCAATTATACAAGAGCCACTCTTTATTAATGGCTAGGACAGACAACATCATGATTGCCCAGCACATTATCATTGTGTCTTTTTGTATTTATGCTTATCAATGTTGATGACCATTTGAAATTATAGTAGTAGTAGTAGTATGCCAATTACATCAAAAATAAAGGTGAAAAAAAATCAATGATCAAAAAAAAGCCGACTGGATTTTTCCAAAATGATCACAACAGCAAAAAATTGAAATAAAAAATGACTTTGGTGAATATTGACATACACACACGCATCACACACTTAAACACACAAGATGGGTAGTAACCATTGAATGAATGAAGAATGGAAAAAAAATTCATTATCAACTGATTATGAGGATGGAAATTGAGATGATTTTTTTTTGTTTGTTTCCAGCTTTTAATTAATGATATTTGGCTTGCTTCGTGCTGCCGCTATCGACGCCATATTTATGTGTTTATCTATTTGCGACGACATTATAATATATACCTTCATCAATGTTTTTGTTTCATTTACGAGATGAAAAATTTGTTGATTTCTTGAGTTACTTATTTTGATCGGTCGGTGGTCGACAATTTTTTTTTCAACTAGTTGCTGTTGTTTGCCATTAATCGTCGTTAATCTACAATGACGACGACGACGACGACGACGAAGACGATGAATACGATGTTGTTATCTCTTTATTATGCATGTAGTTAGTACGTTTATTCTCCTCAAGAAAAAAGCTAGTTAGTATTTTATTTTTCATCATCATCATAATCATTATCAACATGAACGTTGTCGACAAAATTAAGTCTGACAAGGGAAAAAAATCAAATTATTTCTTGATTTTAACGCATTGACTACCAAATTTTCCATTACTACTGCTAGCTACTGGTCTATGGATCTTATATTCTGTAGAAAACTTTAACGTTTCTTTAACATAACCCTTTCTTGCGAATCCATTATCAGTTGTGTGATTAAGTTGTCTAAACAAAATAGAAAAGCTATTTTCGATCACAAATAAAGAATTTTGGACAATTGTCAAGATCATTATCGGTTTATTTGAGCGTTTTTTCACTGACTGTTTGTTTGTTTGTCACATTTCAATTTGACAGATGACTGAATGTTTGCATCATTAACAAAATGAATGAATAAGTCAGTAATCAACAAAACGTCATAGCATTTGACTAATTACATAAATGCTAATTATTATTATTATGATGATGATGATGATGATGAGAGAAATTATAATAATGGGTAGCAAGAAAAAAAAACAAAAGTTTCAAAAGATTTTTGTATGGAAATGATAATAATCATCATTTTATTTCTTTCAATTCATTAGGAATATGTGTTTTTTGGGTGTGAAGAATTTCATACGAGAAAAAAGCTATGGCATTTTTTACCTTTACGATATGAGAACAAATCATAGAAGTTTGTTTCTTTTTTTTGAAAGAGTTAATTTTCCAAATTCTTGGCAAAAATTTTCATTCAAATCCACTCTGCAACCATAATGTCATGTTTTGATCGAATTTTTTTTTTTTTTTTGTTATCCTTCTTTCATTTATTTATTAATTCATTCACTAATTAAAGACAAATATTTGGTCAAAAGATAAATTAAATTAAAATGAAAAAAATACACTGAACGATGTGAGATAAATTAAATGAAAAGCAACGCAAAATAATTATGAACAACAGCAAAACTTAATTCATTCATTTTTCAGAGATTAAATTCAAGAAATTTGTGTGAGTGAAAGAGAGAAACAGAAAATAAAGTCAAGGATCGAATATTTTTTCTTTTTTCTTTTTGTTTTTTTTCACCTAATAACATGGCCATGGATTTTTTTCCAAAGAATCTAACCGGTTATATTGACCGAATTATTAAACGAATTCTTTTTTCTTTATTTTTTACTTTTTTTCTTCAAACTTTATTCGTTATGATTTTTTTTCTATTCATTCATCATTTTAAAATTCATCATTGGATATTCGTATTTTTATCCACAAGATAATCTGCACTTTTTCTTGAAAACAATCACATAAAGATTCGCTTAACCATCATCTTCAACATTATTTGTTATCATCATCATCATCATGTCAAACCAGGCAATTTATTTCTCCATATATATAATATTTAATATCGTTGCGTTCCATTTAATTTTAATTACTGTTCACTTTATGGATGTTTAAAAATATTATCCACATACGTTTTTTTTTCTTGATGACGTTAGCTATCAGCTAATTGATGCTACAGTAATTATTTTTATTTTTTGAATTGAAAAAAAACTACCACTGATAAATGTGTGTTTGAAATGGGAAATTTTTTTTCATTCATAATCAAAATTGATTATCGGTAAAAGAAAAATATTATAAGTGGATTTTTTTTTTTGAATTTAAATGGTTAGGAATACAGATAGCCAAACAAATTGAAAAAAAAAGTTTTCCGTCAAAGAAGTTATCATTCAAAATCATCAAAATAAGTTAATTATCAAATGACTGTGTGTGTTAGCATTAAAATTTAAATCCAAGTTTAGATGGAAGAATTTTTTTTTTTTTTTTGTTCGATAACAATTTTCAATCAAAAATCAATAAATTACCATATGAATTTTTCAATCATGATTTGACAATGTTCAGAATACAAACGATGATTGACAATCGAAGAACGAAAGGAAGAAAAAAAATCAGATTAATTTGGTTTGAAAAAGATAATGTTCTTTTTTGTCGTTGTAAAAATCACTTAAGAATCATCAAGGCCATATTGTGAATTTGATTCAGATCTCGACAAACACACACACACACACATAAAACGTACAATAAGTGAAGTAAGCAATCAAATCGATCCCATTCATTGCAACAGACAATGATGACAAGAGTACATACAAAAAAAAAATGCAAAGCATGACAATTTAAGCAAAATTCTTCCTCTTTTTGTTCATTTATTTTTGTTTAGTTGTTTATCATTCTCGTTAAACGTAGAAAAAAATAATTCAACGCTAATTAGTCAGCTCATTAAAGAAATTTCGAAAGAATCGTTTTGCCAGTACAAGCAAATTTTCTAAATTACGACATGCATAGCCAAATTTTATTGATCAAATGTTAATGATCATTTTCCAAAAGAGAAAAGAAAATAAAAAGTATCCAGAGGATTTGGAAACCAAAAAAAAAAAAAAAAGACAAAAATGCATGACATAAAATGGATATTTTTATTTCATTTTGTTCATACTTTTTTTTCGCAAAAATCAATAAAAAAAATAATTGAAACACGCGATAAATAATTTAACAAAATGAATTAGATAGATGGGGGAATTATTCTCATTTAGCCAATAATGTACTTCGTTGCTGCTCAGGTGATGTATTCGATGATGAATTTTTGTAATTATTGAAAACATTTCTATTATTTTTGTTGTTGTTGTTGTTGTTGTTTGATATGATTGTTGGTGATGATGATTGTGATATTAGATTTGATACAAATGAATTAACTGATGATGATGAAGATGACGATGAAGATGATGATGATGATCGAAATGATGGCGATGATAATGATGTTGAAGTTGATCCGATGAATAATTTTTTTGTTGCCAATAATTCATCATTGGTCAAATGTGGATGAATTTGATGATGATGATGATGCCGGAATGATGATGACGGTGATGATGAAAATAGACCATGTGTTTGATGATGATGATGATGATGATTCCCATTACCATGATTTATATTTACAACATTATTACTATTGACAATATGTTTTTCACGTTTATGTTTTGTACGACGATTCTGGAACCAAACTTTTATTTGTGTTTCAGAAAGATTGAGATCACGTGCAAGTTGTTTACGTTCACATCCAACAACATAACGATTTTTTTCAAATATCTCCTCTAAACGTAATAATTGTCCAGGTGAAAATGCGGTACGTATACGTTTTGGTTTACGAAACATATTGGAAAAATGATATGCTGCAGCAGCAGCGGCAGCTGATGCCGTTGGTGTTGTCGTTAAAGATGATGATGATGATGATGAACCATTTGAATCAATTAAAGATGTTTTATTCACTGAAGACGGTGAAGATGGCGCTAGTTTATTCGTATTGGTCAGACCATTATTATCATGAATTAAATGATGATGATGATGATGATGATGAGATGTTTGATGTTTCGATTTCATTGATAAAGGATCATATGAATCTGTGGATTGTAATTTGTAAAGAAAAAAAAATGAATGAATTAATATTCTAATAAATGAAACAAATAATTAGAGAAAAAAAAACTTAATTTTTTTCATCATTGTAATGATTAATTAATTTTTTATTTTTATTTTTGCTCATTAGTTTTTGGTCATTATATTTATAATAAAAAACCCAATATAACAACATCAGGAAAAAAAACCGAATGATGTTGATGATAATTATATAACCGAATTGCCGTATGTAATAATTAGTGAAACGTCGTCGTCGTCATCATCATCAGTGTTTATTTGTCTGAAATTTTTTTTTTTTATTTTGGTGCAATACTAATTGCATGAATCAGTTTGAATGAATGAATGGATGATGCCAAATTGGGTGTATAGTATGGTGTGTGTGTGTGTGTGTGTGTAATGATGCTATTATTATTTTCACATCTGAATTCACAACACTATTCATTCATTCATTCATTCCCTATTCATAGTCTGTATGACCATTGATGGTCAATGGCGCGAATAATTAGCTAAAGCTTTTCATTTTGTTCATCAACCGAACATCATCATCATCATCATGGATTCAATTGCAATCGAGTTCAAATCATTCATTTAATGAAAAATTTGGATATTTCTTTCGTCTATTTTCCCAATTGATTTCTTTTATTATCATTGAAAAGAGCGACTATCTTATCCTGAATATCAGGGATAGTGTGTGTGTGTGTGTGTGTGTGTCTGTACAACTAAATTTTGCCAATCGATTGGATCATTCAAAAAATCCGCTTTTTTAACAGCATTAACTGTACATCATCATTAGACAATATTGGAATATAATTGATTTGCCATTTCATCATCAACATTTAAATTTATTTTGGCCAATTCCGGTTTCATATTAATACTAATTTCTTTTCAATTTGATTTTGAATGAAAATTTTTGTTACCAGCTGGACAATTATAATTGAAAGGAAAAAAAAGTGAAATAAAATCCACTATTCCAAAAATACTGCATCACAAAAAATAATGATGTTGTTGATGATGATGATGATGATGATGATGAATCGTTAAGTACAGTAATGATGATTTTGCAATTGATTTCACCTTTTTTTTCACCCATATTGGTCTATTCATCATTCTTTTGTATTGTATAATCAACATTAACCAATTTCAATTGAATTCTAAATGGTGATGGTGGTAGTAATGTTGGGGGTGTCAATAGAAAGAGCATCGAAGCGGAATATATTTTTCGCCTACAATGAATAGCATTTGTGGCATCTACACTATTATAAATATGATGATGATGATGATGATGAAAACTTTTTTTCATCATCTAATTTTAGGATTTCCAATTAACATATAAAAAAGCCGAAACAGAATCATAAACGAATTGATGTAGCAATTAATTTTCGATTGCAATAGTGTGAAAACAGCAATTTCTCTCTTTCGATTAATTCAAACATGAAAAAAATTCTTCCACATTTGGTGATGTATTTTTGTTATAATGCATATAAAAATTGTCAATTCAATTTTCAAAAATGACTAAATAATTGATTTAATGAATGTTGTCCTTGTTATTATTGTCATTATTATTATTGATAATGATAATGATGATGATGATGATGATGAAGAGACAAACAAATTTTCCGACAATTACAGTGCAATTATCATAATAATAATAATAATGAAAATAATAACAATAACAATAATATTTGCCATTAGAATCGTCATTTGATTGTATATTTTTATATTACTGGAATGAAAAACAGGCAAATCGATTCAATCCATTCACACACACACACACACACACAGAGACAAAGAAAAACATTTAACACATTGACAATTCAACCAATCAAATTGATGACGATGATGATTAAGATTAATATTAACATTGATTGATAACCGAAAAAAAAGACGAGAATATTTTTTGAAATCACCATTATCATCATTATCATACTGATAGTATTTTTCAATCAATTCAAAGATTGTGATGAGAAAAAATAATCGTTTTTTATATACGTATATTCTCATCGTATAGGGTTAATTTCAATCAAATTTATTATCATAATGATAATGATGATGATGATCTTCAAATTCCTTTTTCTATAATCGTGATGATCACACCATAGTACAAACTATTAATGAAGATTATAATTATCATTCAAAATCAATGATCATTGATTGCCATTTTCTTTTTTTTTTTATTGCCATCATTTTGTCATTATTATTATTTATATTGTCTTTATGAATATTAATGATGATGATGATGATGAGAGAATGAAAATGAACGAATCATAATCTAGAAACAAAAAACATTCAATTCAACCACAAAGTGTGTCACAAATGATGATCATTATCATCATTATCCTTCTTTTTTAACTCTTACAATATTAAAATTAATGATGACAATTAAAATTCGAAATTGATTGAATTGATGCACGAATGATGATAAACAATTATGTCTATACAAAATCTTGTTTTGGAAAAAATAACCAATCGATAACCAAAAGTGTATGAAACACAGAAAGGATTGAAAAACATTGAAAATAATGATAAAAAAACAAACAAACAAAGAATAAACAGGCGAACAAACAAACAAACAAAAAAATCAATTGAATGATGATAATTAGAAATAAAAAGGCAAATCGAAAACGATCAAATTAATCGTAAACTCATTAATGCCAGACGATCATCCATTATTGATGGAGAGAATGATGATGATGATGATAATGATTATTATTGCCATCAAATTAACAGCCTTGTTTGATTGAAAAATCTGGTATTCGAATAAAAATATTCACAATAAAATAGAAATGATTCATGGGAGCTAGTCAAAAAAAAAGAGTTGAAAGACACCAATAACAAATGAAATGTGTCAATTGAAATCCAATCAAAATATTGATATAATCGTTTTACTGTTTTGATATTGACCAAAATGTTGAGCAGAAAATGAACGAGTAAAACGATGCGTGCGAATATCAATCGCTTGATGAACAATAAATATAACTTAATACGGATATTTTCATAATCCAAGGTATTTTGTAATCGGTTTCGTCCAATCGAAGTAGATTTGTAGAAATTGATCAATACGTCCAAATAAGAGATAAAATTGTACCATTTTGGTTTGTTCAATGTTTGTAGGACAGATACGATATGATCAAATAAAACTAAATACAAACGTAAATCTACTTCGTAGGTTAAATTCAACCAATAAAAGGTTTCGTCTAAAGGATCAAATAAATATTTCACGAAATAATTAAAGACGATAAAAACGATGATTAATTTAAAAACTTGAGATATGATCAAATCATCAAATCGTATGGTTCGATACAATCGAATCTTCAAGTCAACCCGTTTACGTGATACAATAATTTCATTTGGTGGTGGGTCAACCAATCTTGGTTTTGCGATTTTACCAGCTATGTCGAATAGTAATGGTGAATAATTTGATAATACATGATCGGTGGTCAGTAGACTTCTTTCAAATGATGCTAAAAATATGTCGTTTTGTCTACGGAAAAACTTAGCAGCTGCTGGTAAACGTCTATAAGACTGTTCATAAATAATTTGAGCAATGATCAAATTGCCAGTACCAGAAAACTTTTCGGAAATTAAAGATATGCTGCTTCCACCAGAATTGATGTCGAGAAAATTCAAAACGCTTCCACCGGAATCGATGGTGATAATCTTTACGTTGTTTCTTCCACCATTATCGACATTGATTTCGGAAATATTTACCTTAAAACGATGAAGAGCATTGATAGCTGTAAAATCGGTAAATTTCTTTAAATACGATTGATGTGACGACTTCCATGAGACTTTTTCATAAATAGTGATAGGATCGGATAGCTCAATGCGTCGATAATAACGATAACATGAAAAATTTTCGATAAAATATCCGATCATTAGAAACTTGATTTTCACTGATTTAACAATGTTTTCATCACGATTGTTCGTGGAATATTCAATAAATGTGAAAATATGGAAATATGTTAAATAAATTCGTCGTCCAAAATTTTGCTCGATAGAAAAATAATAATTTGAAATGATCATATGATTGTTGATTTTTATACCATGAAGAGCAAACAATTTTGACGATAATAACAATATTGGTTGGTTCGCAATTTTCCGTATCCATAAATCCATGAGACCATGTTGCAATGGCAATTCAGAAGAAATAAAACCAGATTTTATGCCATGCCGTGCCAGACACAAAACAGCATCCTTGGCAAATATCACAGATCGATGGTCTGTCCGGATAGATGAAACATCATAGTCATCGACTATGGAGGCATTTACGATACGTTCAAAATCATACGATAAAATAGGTGAATTTTCCATAAAAACAGAATAATCAAAAATTGCGACCAGAAATGAATCATGGGAGCTAGTCAAAAAAAGAGTTGAAAAACACCAAACACCGATAACAAATGAAAAACAAGAAACAATAGATTCATCGACGATATTATGGCCAACTTCATCAACCTCTGATTCAATAGTTGAGGTGATGGTATCTGGTGATGATTCAGCAGCACACATTTGAAACCAATGTGTGTGTGTGTGTGTGTGAATTCCTATTTTTATAATTAAAATGAAAATTTCTTTTTTTAAATTAATTAAAATTGTTGTCATTCCCATCTTCATATATAACTTTTTTTTAAATGTGTATGTTGTTGGAAATTGTTATTATTATCACCGTAATAATAATGAATAGTGAACCAATCAATAATAAAAACAAAAACAAAACAAAACAAAAAAAATGCAAATGACACAATTGGAAAATGTGAGATAATAATGATTCTCTGATGATCAGAAAATTTTCATTATTAAAATTGAATGAAAAAAAATTCCAAAATTGCTATAATAAAAATGAAACAATTCGTCAATGATTGCAACACAGCCTGTTTTTTTAAAAAAAAGGTAATATTAATGCAGGAACAAGCAAACACCTTTTGACATTTGTTATGATGTGTCCATTTAACGACGATGATGATGATGACATTGAGCAACAGCAACA